TAGAAAGAGGGAATAAGAAGGTGGGGAGAAAGGTGGAAGTTAAGGCATCACGTCACACCCAGGCAAAGTTACGAAGGAGCAATGCATGAAATTTATTGACTAGGTGGTAAGTTGGCGTGTGTGTGGTGTGGGTGACGTGTAGGTGGTGTAAGGTGACTGTGTGACGTGTAGGTGGTGGTGGGCGACTGTATGACGTGTAGGTGGTGTTAGGTGACTGTGTGACGTGTAGGTGGTGGTGGGTGATTATGACGTGTGGGTGGTGTAAAGTGACTGTGTGACGTGTAGGTGGTGTAAAGTGACTGTGTGACGTGTAGGTGGTGGTGGGTGACTGTATGACGTGTAAGTGGTGTTAGGTGACTGTGTGACGTGTAGGTGGTGTTAGGTGACTGTGTGACGTGTTGGTGGTGGTGGGCTGTGTGACGTGTAGGTGGTGTAAGGTGACTGTGACGTTTAGATGGTGTTAGGTGACTGTGTGACGTGTAGGTGGTGTAAGGTGACTGTGACGTTTAGATGGTGTTAGGTGACTGTGATGTGTACTGTAGGTGGTGTAAGGTGACTGTGTGACGTGTGGGTGGTGTTAGGTGACTGTGTGACGTGTTGGTGGTGTTAGGTGACGATGTGACGTGTAGGTGGTGTAGGGTGACTGTGTGACGTGTAGGTGGTGTTAGGTGACTGTGTGACGTGTTGGTGGTGTTAGGTGACTATGTGACGTGTAGGTGGTGTAAAGGTGACTGTGTGATAGGTGGTGTTAGGTGACTGTGTGACGTGTTGGTGGTGTTAGGTGACTGTGTGGCGTATTTGGTGGTGTTAGGTGACTGTGTGGACGTGGTGGTGTTAGGTGACTGTGACGTGTGGTGGTGATGGGTGACTGTGTGACGTGTAGGTGGTGTAAGGTGACTGTGTGACGTGTAGGTGGTGTTAGGTAACTTGTGTGACGTGTAGGTGGTGTTAGGTGACTGTGTGACGTGTAGGTGGTGTAAAGTGACTGTGTGACGTGTAGGTGGTGTTAGGTGACTGTGTGACGTGTTGGTGGTGTTAGGTGACTGTGTGACGTGTTGGTGGTGTTAGGTGACTGTGTGACGTGTAGGTGGTGATGGTGACTGTGTGACGTGTAGGTGGTGTAAGGTGACTGTGTGACGTGTAGGTGGTGTCAGGTGACTGTGTGACGTGTAGGTGGTGGTGGGTGACTGTGTGACGTGTAGGTGGTGTATGGGTGACTGTGTGACGTGTAGGTGGTGGCTGGTGACTATGTGACGTGTGGGTGGTGATGGGTGACTGTGTGTGACGTGTAGGTGGTGTAAGGTGACTGTGTGACGTGTAGGTGGTGTAAGGTGACCGTGACGTTTAGATGGTGGTGATTAGTGACTGTGGTGGTTGTGAGGCAGGTGGTGAGGTGGCGGTGTGGCGCTGTGACGTATGGGTGTTGGGTGACTGTGTGACGTGTGGGTGGTGTAAGGTGACTGTGTGACGTGTGGGTGGTGATGGGTGACTGTGACGTGTAGGTGGTGTTAGGTTACTGTGTGACGTGTTGGGTGGTGATGGGTGACTGTGACGTGTGGGTGGTGTAAGGTGACTGTGTGACGTGTAGGTGGTGATGGGTGACTGTGACGTGTTGGTGGTGTTAGGTGACTGTGTGACGTGTAGGTGGTGATGGGTGACTGTGACGTGTGGTGGTGTTAGGTGACTGTGTGACGTGTTGGTGGTGTTAGGTGACTATGTGACGTGTAGGTGGTGATGGGTGACTGTGACGTGTTGGTGGTGTTAGGTGACTGTGTGACGTGTAGGTGGTGGGTGACTGTGACGTGTTGGTGGTGTTGGGTGACTATGTGACGTGTAGGTGGTGTTAGGTGACTGTGTGACGTGTAGGTGGTGTTAGGTGACTGTGTGACGTGTTGGTGGTGTTAGGTGACTGTGACGTGTAGGTGGTGTCAGGTGACTGTGTGACGTGTAGGTGGTGTTAAGTGACTGTTTTTGACCCTTAAAATAATACGTAATGAAGAGAAGCACAGGTAAACCATTAAAGAATCAGAGAAATACAAAAGATAGAAAAATAAACCAGATACTAATTGCTTATTTTTCTGAGTGTGACGTCACGATTCCTCCACTCATACTTTGATTTAGAATTTGAAGAACATGACCTCCTAGTAGACAGAGTTCATTGCCTTCAACACACGTGTCTTAATCTGACTTACAGTATTTGTTGTTAAATAATTTATTGACAAAGCTTGGAGTACAGTTTGCCGATTCTGAGTAATTCAGTCAGGTCTTGACACTGAGGGTGGTATCACTTCTCACTGCCACGCAGGACAGAGGTTCACACACAAAGAAATACATCATATTCATTAACAGTATATATATATAGAGTTCAGATTCATGTGGGTGATAATACTGTACTGTTGTAAACGCTTCTGCGCTTCACCTTGCACAGGACATAAGGGGGTGCCCAATAAACTAGCCCCCTCGGGGGCAATCTAATCAAATACTGTTCACTACCACGCTAGACAGTGGTACATTAGAAGTCATATTCTATTTGAGGACTAATGATTGTGGGCTAGCAAATTTTGGATAAACAGCAAGAATGTCCCCAAGCACCCCCGATTCAATGTAATAATTACAAAGTTCATGATATAATAAGCCAGGTGGCCTGAAGTCTTTGACAGTGTCACATTCAATAATATAGTGTTCAAGTGTATGCTTTAAAGGTTTATCACAAAGTTTACATGCTGAGTGTTCCGGTATGGGTACAGCGTTACTAACTTGCCAGATGTGTCTGTATCCTAGCCTGATCTGACCCCGACTACTGCCCTCCCTATCTGAGAGGATAGCTCGACTTAATACCATGTTTTGTGTCAAACTTTTGAAGAACAATGGTCCCAAACTACAGCTAGAACTGAGTTGATGTTTTATCTAAGTAATCCCGACTATCTCGCTGACCTTCCACAAGTGACTTATAGTAATGATAATAAGAGTAATAATGACAATATTATAGTATAACGATAATAATAATAATAATAATAATAATAATAATAATTAAGGAAGTAGACTGATTATGATGATGTTGATGATGATGATTGATTAATTAATGAAGTTGATAATATTAATAAAGAATATAATTGCAAATCAACACATTAAATCTTTATCCTTGGTAACACTGTCATGTTCTCTCTTCCACAGGTAAGTGTTACGAGGCAGAATAACCGGAGTGAAGGGAAGAAGAGAGGAGGAAGAGGAGGAGGGAATGGCCGGCTCTCCCTCCTATGCGGAGTTCCTGTCTTTCTTCAAGGCCATGAAGAAGAGGGAGGGAGAGGGTAATGGGGAGGAGGGAGGTGAGAGGGGATGATCAGGAGGGAGGAGAGTGGGAGGAAGGAAGTGAAGGGAAGGGGATGGAGGTGATGTGGATGAGGATAAGGGAGGGGAGGAGGAGGGGAAACAACCATGTGCTTTACCATCTTCTGCTAACAGTTGGAAAGGAGGAGGAATATATAAGGGAGGTGGAGAAGGCGAAGGGAGAGGGACTAGACGAATATAGCGGGGAGGGGAGGGGGAGGGGGCTCCAAGGAGGTTACACACACTGGGAGAGGAAAAATTAATCTTAAAATACTATCCCGCCCCTTCCAGCCATACACCCTCATCCCCCCACACACCCTCATCCCCACACACACCCCCATCACCCCTCATCCCCCACACACCCTCATCCCCCACCCCATCCCCACACACCCCCATCCCCCACACACCCTCATCCCCACACACACCCTCATCCTCCCACACACCTCATCCCCACACACCCTCATCCCCCACACCTCACACCCTCATCCCCACACCCTCATCCCCACACACCCTCACCCCCCACACACCTCATCCTCCACACACCTCATCTCCCACACACCTCATCCCCATCCTCCACACCCCCTCATCCCCACACTCCCACCACACCCTCACCCCACACACCTCATCGCCCCACAAACCCCTCATCCCCCCACACACCCTCATCCCCACACACCCTCACTCCCCACACATCCTCATCCCCCACACATCTCATCCCCCACACACCTTCATCCCCCACCCCACACACACCCCATCCCCACACACCCTCATCCCCACACACCCCCATCCCCACACCCCCACCCATCCACACCCCCCACCCATCCATGCACACAAAGGTAATAACAAAATATACGTGGAAGTTATATCGTAAATGAAAATGCTCTAGGTAGAAAGTGTTGCTGGTGAAAAAATTAATGTATAAAAAATAAGTGAAGAATATTTTCATTGTGTTCACTGGTAATTTATAACTTGGGTGTAGCGGCAGAGTTAGAAGTAACGCTCGCCGCCTGCTCCGAGGGTCGTTAGCTTCGCTCGACCACCCAGCTGTGAATGGGTACCTTATTTTACAGCTGGGGAAATGAAGGCAATCGAATGCAGTGTCGGCTCCATCCCACTGCCTATTTGTGTAACGGAGGCTTTAGTATTCAGTGTGGTGTATCCAGACTCCATTGCATCGTCATTAATGCTTCGCTCAAACAAGGGAAGTGCTTCGTTTACTGAGAGACTTCATATCTTTCTCCAACTAGTCCACATCGCCATCGTGCAGGTCCTCAGACAAATTGCGAGGGATTTGTACTTGACTGGGCTTATGCGAACACTGGAGGCACTGTAAATCCTCAACATTCGGTAATATGAATACTGTACGTCCTCACTGCTCATAGACTTCACCTATTGCAGCCTAGAGAAGCTTAAGATCTTTGTGGTTCTCATCTTTGCAGACTTCACCGGAGTGTTTAACTTAATCAACTGAAACATAATTATTAACAAAACCATAAGAGCTGGAAAAGTCCCATTTCTTGGTATACAGAACTTCCTTATCCACCGTCTCCATACAGTACGCTTCGGAGGGACCATCTTTACCTTTCAATCATTCAGCCGCGACGTCCCCCAAGGCAGTAGGATGTGACTTTCCTGGTGGATACTCTCGCTCTTTGGGAATATGTTGACGACTCTACCATTTGCGTTCTCCAGAGCACTCTGAACATTCTCCAGTATCAACCTCTGACTCGGTCCCAACACATTGTGTACATGAGACTGCTCTTAGGGTACAGGTACAAACGTATGGGAGTACATTGACAACTCTGACTTTGTGGTCAACCCGACTCTCACACCCTATCTCACTACATCCTCACTTGCACTGTTACCTCCTCCTACAGGTCCCCACCTACACCTCGTCCCTCCCTGACCATATATCATTCCTCCTAGAGACAGGCCTGGCACATGGCATTATTAGGGACCTGCCACGCCTTGCTATAAACAGATAACCCCCCCCACACACACATACCTCATACACATACTCTGTCACAATGTATGAAACTTGCCGTCATAATCCATGGCCCCTCAGACACTTACCCCTTTAATGCATGAGTCACCAAGCCAAGCATGAACTCCGCATCCTTCCCCGTCTGGGCGCTGTAAACGTTTTTGCACTGCTCCTTGTACATGATGCAATAAATTAGCCCCCTCGCAGGGCAAATCTGAAAAAAAAAATTATAAAATTCTCCAATTTGGACCGCAGCTATCAAGTAGGGAGGCACTACCGCCTGGGAAGATATTGGAAGCATAATGTGTTGTCTAATGGTAGACCCTGCTGCCATATGGCATCACAAAAATTGTGACCAAGTCCCAGGTTGCTGATCTGACTTTCTGCCTCATTTACACAATTGCAGGGTCTCAATTGTTTCTTTTACTTCGACAACACAACATACATATATCATTTCTCACTATAAATCTTTTTTTTTTGGTCCTCTATTATTATTATTATTATTATTATTATTATTATTATTATTATTATTATTATTATTATTATTATTATTATTATTATTATTTCGTCCCCAGGCCCTGATGTGAGTCATTGACCTGTGCCCTGATGGGCTAATCCCGTAAAAAAAAAGAAAAAAACGTCATCAAGCCATACCACTACCCTGGTTGTGTATGTTAACTTCTCTGGCCATCTCTCACCTCCATATATCTCACTGGACTCCAGCACCTTCCTAGCTGTGAATTTCACTCAACTCCTCGACGTCAATATATAGTATGACAAACTGAATTGGACAGTGTTGGTCATTACTGATCACCTGTCGTGCCCTTATGCTTCGTCAAGATCCCTTTTATTTCCTGCCCTGGCGGGAGTGAGCGTTAGCCCGTGGAAAAGAGAGTTGGGAAGTTCCTTTAGTTGGGAGAGTTGGTGAAAGGAAGGAAGAGAGTTGGTGGGAAGGAAGGGAGAGAGTTGGTGGGAAGTTAACGGGGCCGAAAGTTGGTGGGTGGGAAGTTAGCAGAAGGCGAAGAATTGGTGGGAAGTTAGCTGAAGGGAAGACAGTTGGTGGAAAGAAGAAGGGAAGAGAAGGAAGTTAGCGGAAGAAGAGTTGGTGGAAGGAAGGGAAGAGAGTTGGTGGAAAGAAGGAAGGAAGAGAGTTGGTGGGAAGTTGGAAGGGAAGAGAGTAGTTGGACGGAAGGGAAGAGAGTTGGTGGAAAGAAGCGGAAGGAAGAGAGTTGGTGGGAAGAAGGAAGGGAGAGTTGGTGGGAAGTTTGAAGTTGGGAAGAAAGAAGGAAGAGAGTTGGTGGAAAGTTAACGGAAGGGAAGAGTTGGTGGGAAGTTAACGGAAGGAAGAGAGTTGGTGGGAAGTTGACGGAAGGGAAGAGAGTTGGTGGAAAGTTAACGGAAGGGAAGAGAGTTGGTGGAAGTTAACGGAAGGAATAGAGTTGGTGGAAAGTTAACGGAAGGGAGACGAAGGGAAAGAGTTGGTGGAAAGTTAACGGAAGGGAAGAGAGTTGGTGAAAGTTGAACGGAAGTTAGAAGGGAAGAGAGTTGGTGGAAGTTAAGGAAGGGAATAGAGTTGGTGGGAAGTTAACGGAAGGGAAGAGAGTTGGTGGAAAGTTGAAGAGTTGGTGGAAAGTTAACGGAAGGAAGAGAGTTGGTGGAAAGTTAACGGAAGGGAAAGAGAGTTGGTGGGAAGTTAGCGAAGGGAATAGAGTTGGTGGAAGTTAACGGAAGGGAAGAGAGTGGAAAGTTAACGGAAGGAAGAGAGTTGGTGGAAAGTTAGCGGAAGGAAAGAGGAAGTTGAGAAAGTTGAGGAAAGTTAACGGACGGAAGAAAGAGTTGGTGGAAAGTTAAGAAGAAGAAGTTGGTGGAAAAGTTGGAAAGTTGGTGGGTTTAGAGGAAGAAGGAAGGAAGAGAGGGAAAGTTAACGGGAAAGTTGGTGGGTAACGGAAGGAAGAGAGTTGGTGGTTAGCGGAAGGGAAGAGAGTTGGTGTGAAGAAAGGAAGGAAGAGTTGGTGGGAAGTTAGCGGAAGGGAAGAGAGTTGGTGTCAAGTTAGCGGAAGGGAAGAGAGTTGGTGGAAAGTTAGTGGAAGGGAAGAGAGTTGGTGGAAAGTTAGCAGAAGGGCAGAAAGTTGGTGGGTGGGAAGTTAGCGGAAGGTGAAGAGTTGGTGGGAAGTTAGCGGAAGAGAAGAGAG